CACGTTGTTATACTTTGAATCCACCTGCTAAATTATATTGCCCAATTGAGTATAAAATCTTAAGAGTGAATTCATGACTGTGTAATGAATATTATTTTAAAAGTATATTCAAGATTTCATTAAAATAGCTATGCGTGGGAGTCACTCGTGCAAACAAAACTTCTTAACGAAGAGGTTTTCCGGTAGGGTGCGGCTCGACTGCATAAATAACCATGGATAACCATAAATAACCATGGATAACCATAAATAATCATGGATAACCATAAATAATCATGGATAACCATAGATAACTATGGATAACCATAGATAACCATAGATAACTTTGCAAGATGCCTATAAACTGCAGTACTGCATTTCTGCATGTCTATTCAATAACCATGATAACTACAATAACTGGTTATTTATATTTTTAAAGCACATTAAAGCCCCCTATATATTGCCAGGTCTAAAGGAAATGGTTGAGATTCCACTGATAGAGAAACATCACCAGGCACAGATTAAAGAGGACGTAGAGTTTCATAAATCTTAGGCCCAGAGGGTAATGAAGCATTGAGGTTAATTTGATTTTTTTGTATTATTTTCATTGTGATAGTGTAAGCTATTTATAGCAAGCTATATGTACACCCCTCATTGCTGAAGCAAAATACCTTAGGGTGCCTTTTTTCGAGGGCTGTAAATTTTGCAAATTTGCCTAAAAATCTACTTTGCGGATTTAATTATACCATTTTCCATCTTTTACCATAATAATTTGATTTTCACTAAAGTAATTTTTGCGAATCTTCAAAAAATTGCAAAATCTGCAAAATTTATAGCCCTTGAAAAAAAGGCGTCCTATGGTAGCAGGCTTCATAGCTAAAACATAGTTTTTTCTGAAAATTTGGCAAATTAATTTCTTCTACCAGATATTTTAGATGAGCCATTTTATATTCTAATATTCTATAGCTATAATTGTTGTGAAACAATTTGCTTGATAAATTAGCTAAGGTATACAGAAGTAATAGCTAGTATGTGTGTATTTTTTTATTTTGACTTATTCCCTTATAGATAAGTAAAGCTATAGAAGAGCATAAAAAGGCATTGAAGCTTCAATCCAGACTTCAAAAGATGGAGAAAGAGGGACTAGTGTTCATGAAAACTGGAAAGGACAGAAGAAAAGAAAAACTCATTGTTAGTGTAAATAGTTATTTTTACATGTGCTTGTTATTGTAGTACATGTACCATAAATCTGTAAAGATTTCAATTTGAAAATAATTTGGAAATGAACTTTCACTGATTTTAATTTTAAAATATCATCCTGTTCCGAAATCAAAAAATTTTGTTTTGAATTTTTTATTTTTTATTTATTCCTTTTCAAAAATTAAAATTTACCATTTTAGAGTATAGTTAACTTTAAGATTTGAGTGTATATCCCATAAAGTACATGTACTTTCAAAGTACTTTATACTACATAGTACTTTATGAGATTATGATCACTGTTAATACTAAATCACGTATTGACAATTTCAATTGAGCTGGTTTTCATCATCAAAATGTAATGTGAAGCCTACTGCATGCAAATAAAATGGCTGAAAACTTTGGCGTGCTCTTTTCTTTTTGTTATAACTAGTTTATTTTCCTATTTTGGTCGCTGCTTTACGTATTACCTGCAGGATCCTTGCTTGTTGTCACCTGAAAGAAGAATTGAGGTATCAAGACTGAAATGGAGTTTTTGAGCATCAAATGTGAAAAGTGATGACAATCAAGAGCACACTTCTGTTTGAAGTACAAAGCCTCCTAGTGATATATTTCTTTCTCTGGAGTGCTCCTTTGCTTTATTTGATTTTAAAATAATAGAAGCATAATAAAGAATGTGCAAATGATGTTTATGAGTGTTACTTATGTCATAAAACATTGTGGTCACTTGCTTTGTTGTTGACTGGAAAAACCTTTTAAGAACCTTCCAGAGTAATCATTTTTATCTACTGACCACATGTGTGCTCCACTGTTACCTTGTAATATTATGAGCTTATAAAGTAAACCCCTCTTGCATTTGTAGTCCTTACTAACTTGATTAATTAAGTGGTTGAACTTTTAGTACTTTCTTTCAAAGTCTCTACCAACTTCTAACTTTTATCCACTTGGCACTCAGGGGTACACAAAATACTTCTTTTCTTTATATTGGCTTTCAAAGTGTCCCCGGCTAATGAGGTCAGATTCTTATGAGAGTTGTGATTTTAATGTAAAGCATCACAAGCCAGTTACACAATGAGTTCTTCCTACACTATTGCTTGTCTCCACACTTGCTTTGCTAAAAATAGAGCACTTGATCTTTGCCTTCATGCTCCTTAGCAACTTGACAGGAAGCTTGTGTTGACAAATAGTTGTCATGTTTGATCATTTTATTCTTCAGGACAGGGTTGCTATTTTTGAAGCTAAGCTTACAAAAGAAAGAATTGTTAGACTTGCTAAAGGAAAGAAGCTGAACATTTGAGGAAAAATAATAAAAATTAGCAATAAATTTATTAAGCATAAAAATTCCTTATAAAAATTAATAATCATGTATTTCAAGTCAAAATTTCTATTAAACGGCCACTTCTTCAATTTCTTCAATTTCATATCTAATCTTTTCCTCTCTTTCTTTTCCTACACAATGCAATAATCATAAAGATTAAAATTAAACAAAAAATGAAGCCATTTTTACTCACGTTGCAGGTACTCCTGCAATTTGGGATCTTCACTTTCAATTGATTTAAGGTAAGGAGTATTAGCCTAAAAATAATTACTTAATTAGTATAAACTAATCTTGTTCATAAAACCTGATAATCAGTTCTCAATAAAGAAGCTCCAGCATCAACAAGGATTTTGCAGATTCCTCTATATCCATACCAAGCTGCCTTATGGAGTGCTGTCTGAGCCCTGTAATTATTATTTTACCAACTAACCCAACAAAATATTTCTTACTTTTCTTCATCTTGCAAGTCCAAAGAATCTCTAGGAACTAAAAAATATAGAAGCATTAAATAACTCTTTTATTGTACATGTTCTGTATGTGTCCTTCATACCATTGCTCACAAGATACTGCACAACATCTTTTCTTCCAAGTCTTGCTGCATGATGAAGAGGACTCAATCCATGTTGATCAACATTAGCTAGTCTAGCACCCTTGTGGTGAACCTCTTCAACCTGTCATAATAATAATAAATTGATCAAACACTACAAGTGAATTATATTACTTTTTTCAGGTTCCCCCTTTTCACTGCATCAAAAAGTGCTTTTTGAAGTGAAGCATAAGATTGCCTGCAAAATAATATTTGCTAACAGTAACATAAGACTCACTAACTAACATACCCAGACTCCGATTCATCATCAGAACTATAATTTAAAATAATAAATTCATGATTAGTGCATTATTAGGTATTTACTTTGATGAGTCTAGTTTTGGGAGGGGAGAGAGACCAGTTTCAAATTCTGGTAACAAGCTACACATTCATTAGGTACATAGTATTACATGCATGCACCATAAAACCACTAACCATCTGTCGCTATCATAACCTTCTGTATCAGGACTCTTAGGTGTAGAGCTTAAGGACTCCTTACTGCCTAAAGGTGCACCAGATTGTGTTTCTTCTTTATTATTTCTGTAAATACCAAAAGTGACCATTAGATATTACATACAGTGTATTATTGAGACCTTGTTGTTCCTCCCTCTGAAAGTAATTCATTATCTGATAAATCAACAGCCATTGCTATTATGAACACAAACTAATTAATGCAATACAGTACATGTACATACTATAAGAATCTTTTCTCTGTGCCGATATTGGCTTTTCAGGGCTAAAAAACAAAACAAAGTTTAAATAGTGTTTTATTAACATAATATTTTCTTACGGTGGTTCTGCCACCACATGATCATCAGGGTTAACAGGTGATAATGATTCACAGTCTATAACTAATATACCATCAGACAGCATATTACCAACAAGAACAGACTCCTCCTGCTCAGGAAGTATTTGAAAAACTTGATCTAGCCGGCCAGTAGATGCAACTAAAAAGAATGAAGTATTTTTAAAAGAGATTATGTGTGTGTATATTGTACAAAAAAGACAATAGCACATAGACTATACATGTACATGCATACATACCATCCAAATATTGCCAGTTTTTAGAAAGTGTGGCTCTACTATGTTCCGATGATTGTGTAAACCTTTCAATTCGAGGTCTCAAAGAACGAAGGCTCTGACTTGCTGTTGTTATAACTAGACCAAGCCCCACAGCTACATGTAAATAATTATGCATTTAATTTAATAATTATTATTATATTCAGAACAAATTACCAGCTTTTTTTATTTCTTTAAGATCTGAATGGAGATTGTGATACTGTTCATAGGTCACTTTTGACACTGAAAGCTTCAACTGATAATTATCACTAATCCTGAAGGCCAGCAGATTTAATAAAAAAGAGACAGAAGTTGTTTAATATTGCACTAACCCTCTAAGAGGAGAAGCATGTGTACGCAACGCTTCCTTCTTTACCATTAGTGCCTTATTTTGATGAACTATTTCAATAATTGATGGCTTGAGCTTACACGCCTCTCCATCAATTTGTATAGGAAGGGACGTATAAGTATATATCTTGATATGCTGACAGTGCGCTATTCTTTCTCCATGTGCTCCCATTAAAAGCTTAGGCTATACAATTTGGTTTTTTAAAATGCATTACTGCAATATCAATTTCACTTACAAAAGTTGAAGCCCAAAAACCAACAATTTCTATTAATCCATCATCCATTGCTTGAGCACCAATTTGATGCTACACATAAATACATATAAATTACTAATCTTATTAATTCTTATGCTTACTCTTCCACTAAAAGTACCAGGTGGAGGAGCACCCCAGGGATTGTTGCCAGATCCATAAGAAGTAATGTTAAGAAAACAAAGAGCTTCAAGTCTAAGCTGACGTATGTGCTGAGTGAAGTCATGCCCATCTCCCTGACACAATGAATACTCAATAATTATTAACATGTAAAGGATCAACTTACAATCAATCTTATACTATCAGTCATATTTGCAAATTTTCTCAAAACCAGCTCTTGCCCAGTTAACTACAATAAACATAAAGATAACTTATTTCTTAACAGGGTTACATACCCTTGAATAGGCAAATTTATTCTTGAATCTATTATTGTACTTCTGTGGATTGGCTTCTATAATATTAAATAATTGCCGTACATGTACATTTATCTCAACTGACCTCTGCTGTCATGAAAATCTAAAGAAACTTGAGCATCAGCTCCAATGCTAAGGTAATTATTTACAACATGTAGAGGAATATCTTCTTTTCCTTCAAAATCATCATAATTCTATTAATTAAATTATTATTATCCCATGCACACTAAGTTAATACCTCAACGTCTTCATTACGCCAGATTGAAATGACCCATCTATCTAATTCAACTGTAGACCCATTCTCTACATGCATCAAAACATTCTCCAATGGCTCATCACCGTATGACTATAAAAGATAAAGTATTTGTGAAAGGGTATCCTTTTAATGTTAAAATAGTGTACAGTACATGTACAGCATGTGAAAAGACACTTACACCTCCCCAATTCAAAACACGAGCTAAATCATTGCCAGTTCCTAGCGGAAGAACAGCTACAGAGGGAGGAACAGGTTTAAAATCAAGTTGGTCAAGTACAGACAGGACCCAACCAACAGTGCCATCACCACCACATGCTAATATCCTCATATTGGAGCAGTTCTTGAACAACGTTAAACTACGTAACACATAATCACAATACCAGTTTTTGTACATTAATTCATACCCAAATTTTGGTCCTCCTTTAGTTAAATCAAAGACTTGACGAGGATTGAGAAGCCACTGAAAATTTTGCATTAGTTTAGCACCCTGATTGCCACCACTTTTAGGATTGATAAAAACAAGCAAAGGCTTATGATTACTAGACACAAAAGGCTTAACCTAAAACAAACATATAACTCATTTAGCAGCCTACAGAATCAGCTTACAGTGAAAAACTTAGAGGCACGATCATCAGAAGAGCTTGGGTTACGTCGCGTTCGTCTTCTACTAGTTTTTTTCTTACGGGAACTTCCAAAAGCTGCTGCTCCTGTTTTCTCAGGATCAGGTGATGGCTCCTATCAAGTATTACAATGATTAATGAAACACACATGTTATGTATATCACACCCACTCAAAACAACAGCTTCTACATGTACAGTTGTAGTACTGTACAAAATAAAGCCTAAAAAAGACGCTTGAGTGTGTATCTTTTATCAACATGAAAGCACATTCACATGTGTATTACAAAAATAACTTCAAATATGAAAGTGAAATAATATGTACATGTACACATAACCAACAAATAAATTGAATCATGTACATGTTAGACATACATGTACATCTAATGATCTAATACACTGTACATGTGCTTGCAAAATATTTAAACCTTTTCATGAAGGTTATACGTAAAGTCTAACAAATTTGATAATCCTCATGCATAAGAGATGAACTTGGCCATTTTTGTAAGGGTGTGCACTGTTATTGTTTACTAACATAGCAAATTAAGGAGAGTGTTTACAGAAATACTTGATACAAATTACAAGAAGTATTAATACTAAATAAGTTATACAACTGTAACTATAGTTCATGTAAAATAACAATTGCGAAAAAGACAAATACATGTAGGTTAAGTTATAGCTATAGCAATAAATATGCAAGTACATGTAGATGCATTACATTTACATGTAATTGTGCCCAATACTGTACAATGTACATGTATCATGTAAATTAATAACTTAAAGGTCCATTATTACAACTTCTAAAAAGTACTAAAATTACAATTTAGTAGTCAATTAGTACTGTACAATCAATAAACAAAGTTTACCATACGTGTAGGTCAGGATATATTTGTGGTTGCAATGACTTGTGGTAATAAAAATACCAATTAAATACCATGGAAACCATTAGAGCTTTGCTATGACAATAAAACCACGTGATACAATACTCAGCTAAACTTCTAGTCTTTAGCAGCTTTTGTTAGCTTCCTGTATGGACCTCTGCCTCCAAGCTGCTTACTGCTAATCATTGATGGTCACTCAGTCTTGATAACAAGCCATTCCCAAATCAATAAACATTAAGTGAAATGGGTAGAGAGACAAAGTAAGTAAAAAGAACTAGTTAAAGCAGCTTCAAAGACACAACAAGAAGAACAACAACTCAAGACTACTGCAGCAGAGTGCTTTGCTTTAATATTGCGTCTTTTCCAATTAAAAATCACATCTGGTAGCTATATGGTAATTGCTGGGTACAGCAAAAAAATCACGATTAATTGCAGCCATGAATGTATCCTGACCTACAGTACAGTGTGTACATGTATGTCATACACGTAAATACTATAATGGGTAAGTACCTTTTTGTACATGCACATGCATAAAAATTACTTACAGGTTCTATTTGAGGCAATTTAATGATCCATGATGATGGAATAATCAAATTTCGAAGAGGTCCAAGATGACAAATTTCATCACGAAGTTTTTCACTAAAACAGCCTAAATGATAAGAGTCTCCACACCATGAGCAACTGAAACCTTCAAACACCTTTTATGACAATATAAAAATATATATACATGTATAACAATTCTTATTTATTTCTTACTCTTCCAGAAAAACTTTTAAAATTGCCAAATCCTCTGCCACAATTACCAGAACATTTCCCACTCAATTTCCGTCTCTTAAGAAAATGATGTTGAATGGAACTCTAAGCAAAGTAAAATGCAGTTAAAAAGAAATATACACATATGCATGTAGCAAGTATAGTTCAATATTCAGATTAAATGATATAACGAACTTCTATGTACATTTTTTACATGTATTACAATATGATACAGACGATAAACACTGTACATGTGCACATACATTGTAAATCCTGTACACTGAGAGATATATGTACATGCATGTACATGTACTGCATATTTTCACTGTAATCCAATAATATTACATTTCGAGGTTGATAAGTGACACATGTATTTAATATTTATTATCGTTAGCAAATCTTTAAAGTCATTCATTTTCACTAAAAGTCACAAACAAAAAGTGCTAAATGTATTTGATATGTTAATCACAGCCCTTGAATATAGAGCAATAAGCACATTATAACAATATTAAATGTAGCACAACAAAACTACAACTACAGTATAAAACACCCACATTGCTCAAAAAACAAAATGAAAGTCCCACTTAAGCACATGTACATTGTACTAAAATTTACTTGAATATGAATGCACATGCAATGCACATGTACAAAAATGCCACATAACATGATATATATGATGTACCTTAGACATGTACATGTACAATATTTGCCATCACTGGACAAAAATCAAATTGGTACAAGAAATTTAAAATCAACAATAAAAGTAAAACTTTAGACAATACTATTATGACCAATACACAAAACAACAACAAAACCACATAAACAACGACAGCAAGTATCACTAAACTACATGTACATGTATGTACATGTACATGTACATAGATAAGCATGATGAGATATAAGACTTAGCATATTGCCTAGTTTTGCTTACATGTACATCATGTGTTTTACCCAATGAAGGAAAGAAAAATAGTTACATTATTTTGAGCTCTCCCAACCAACAACATAGTGTATAACAAATGATTGATGAGGCTTATATACCCATTTAACTATAATTCATCTTAATGAGTATTAAAATATTGATAATCAGGTTAAACAATTAGAAACACTGTCAGTGTCACTAAGTGTAGTGTCATACGACATACTAAATCAATTACTGCAAATAAGAATTTGTAATCACAACAAAAATGAAGCATGATGAAGTTTACATAATTATCTTACTCATTAATTTACATATCGTACTCTCAATTAAATGGTACGTGCATGGCAATGTACAAGTACATGTAAATAGAACATGCATTAAACCTATGCATGCATAGATAGTACATTTTTAACATTCTCCAACAAAAAGCAGGAGTAAAGTCTGAGTTTATAGTAGGGCATATAGTGTCAACAATGTTGCAAAAAGACAGGATTTGGAACTAATCCAGAGGACCGCAATGTTTATTCAATTGACAAATGGAACTAAAAGTAATTACATGCACATAATACAACAATACACAACAATACATCACACCCAATTTCACTTTTGCATAACACTGGTGCACAAACAACAAAATTCTGAGCAAACAGCAAATTTTCAGTGACTAATTAGGCCTAGCAGGGCAAAGGGCATTATAGTAATAAGTAAATAATATGCCAATTTGTGCTCTACAATAAAACTAACTTTTTTCTCTTTCTGCTTAATTTCACGAAAAGTAGATTTACAAAAGACTCCTTCATAGCACAACTGCTTCATACAAGTAGTGTGAACTAAAATTCTGCATGCTGATGTGACATGCATAGTAAATGATAAATATACATAGTAAAAGTAAAGTACATGTACATGTGCTTCGCACAGTACAAATAGTGAAATAGACAATACTTTACCTGAGCAGCGAACTTTTTGTCTCTTTGGATGCACTATTTTTTGATCCTATATTAATGGCAGTATAGCTATCACTACTACCCACAGTATTATATAAGCTTACTTGACAATACTGAGTATCATTAAGGTAACAAGCTTCCCTTGTGTCCCTTTCAACCCACAAATGACAATTATCTTCAGCTGTTTCCTATTAGCAAACAGAAAGCCAATCATAGAATTCAATTATACAGCAGACATGTGTACATGTATGCATATGCATGTACACGTACATACCTCCCAGGAAACAGGTTGCATCACTTTAGTATAATGATCCAGCTGAAGGGTATGGCGACGGCGATTTCTACACAAAAACCAATCAGTTAAAATATACAAATGTACATATATATCTTTGAAAAATATACACAGTACACATGTATAGGTACATGCACGTGCTGCATAAAGTGGTGAGTTCCATAACAACTTAAGGTGAACATAAATCAGACTAAAATTTTGGTAGCCCGAAAAAATATTAACAAAACAATAATTGATTGCTATGATGTACATGTACAATGTACACAAAGTACAGTACATGTACATGATAAGGTGTCATTCAAAAATATATTTAAACGTTTGTAGAGGGGCGCAACAGAATAAAATGTACAAAATAATAATTAATATTGATCAGTTACTTCTACAACAAGAAAGCTGCATGTGCATGTGTACATGTACATGTATGTGCCACATGTACATGCATATGAGTAGAATAAAATGTGCTCAATAGGGGAGAACAGATTTAGAGCTTTCTTTTCTACAAAGAAAACATTCCTTTATAAATAAAGTTTCTAAAAGCAAGTCAAAAAAATAAATACCATTTACAATGTTTATATAATTCCAGTTCTCATATATACTGTACATGTCAGTACACTCATGCCACTTGGTGCCACAAACTGACACCAAGTGACTCTAGACCTTTTAAATGGTTATGAAACACATGTATGCCAGCATTACATTAATTCATTATTCTTTTTGTATGCTAAAAGGAAATGGCTCTACCTGTTCCCTCTCTTGGTAATAGCCCAACGTTCTAATACCAAAAATGAAGGATGGGTCTGACAATACAAACATTTACTTCACATAAATGTATATGTATGGATCTACATGTACATGTACATGTAGCATACATCATACATGTACTGTACATGTACACAAGATAAATATCTTTTGAGACAGAGGGAAATAAAATTCTGATGTCTTTTCTAACAAGACCTAAAGCCACAGCAAAAATAATAGTGGTAAAAGCATGTGAAGCACATCAGCTCTTGTGGTGTCTTATAGTTGCATATGTACTCGTGTTCATAAACTAAACTATTCAGATTAACTTCAAAATAAGTACGAGTTGCACTCATTTTTAACTGTACAAGCGAAAATTCCCACTAATGTAAATGCATGTACTATAACTTAAGCTTAATTTATTATTGATGTAAAGTACAATGTACATTTAGTAAAGTAAACAGCAAATAATGTCCATACACTGCCATGTACATGTACGTGTAGCATGTTAATTAATAAGAAACCCACACCAAAATATACAGATGCATGATCAGTGTTTATAAAAATTGATGCCAGAAAATGTACGTACATGTACTTTTCAAGGACAACAAATTTTACAAATTTTATAAATTTAGCAAAATTAAATTTTAATCTTGCACAGTAGAAGATGGCAGAAGAGTGGAAATTAGTTTTTTTTAACATTCGGATACAGGTCAATCATAAATATTACTATACTTGGAAAAATCCACACTACAGTATTTCATACACACACAGTTTGTCAGCACACATACACATGATGCACATGTAATTATTCACAGCACATACATGTATAAAATTAACCAGAAATTGCTAAAATAATACAATTTACTTTCCTTAAATTTTAGTGATTACAGTGATACATTTAAAATATCAAACGTCCAGATAGCAATCATATAAAATGCAAGTACATGCACAAGCATATAATATATACATGTACATTCATATTAACTACATACATTCAAAATGAAATTAATATTTGGAGTAACTACAGCATGCACCTGTATAAGTAGAGTGTAGACTAAATAAAAATGGTTGCCAAATTCACACAAACTACATGTACATTGTATATCCAAATTTTTGTAACCATAATCAAGTATCCTCACTTATTACTACATGTACATACATTGGACATGAAAATTTTCTACATCATTACTTAAACAAATGCATGGAATAGATGTCAATATAAAGGTACGTATGGCATGGTTATTACATATAAACAATAAAAAATGAATAAAAAGAGCAATCATTAGAAAATACTACAATCATATCTATTAAGAAAACTTACTCTTCTTCTTTATCAAGCTGCATAAGCACTGTTTGCATAGAAAGAACTTCAGAATCACTAGACAAGGGTCGCTCCTTGAATATTTGCTTCTGCTCCACATCACGTGGCTTGAGAGGTTGTGCAGCATTAGGATCAAAAACATCCTCGTGTAGTAATTGAACTGCTTCATGCGAACTTTCACCAGCTTGAGTCTTTTTTAATCTGTGAGGATCTGACGGAACATACCACTGACTAGCACCGGAAGGCTCTTCATCATCAGTATTACGAGAGTTAGGAAGTAAGGCTAGAGGAACAGTTGATGTCACAAAACCTTCCAAAGAGTGTTTCTTCCTATCACTAGACGACATTGTAGCTATGACTACGAAACCTGAATATGAATAACAAAATTAAACAAGTGCAACTAACTGTAACTTAGTAATAGACACAAATTAACCTACATGTACATGTAAGGTTCAATTAATACAGTTAGACAATATGAAGCACAAAATGCACAACTTCAAAAGTATCAACAACAAAAAAACGTAATGACAATGAAATTAATTATAATCAGTGGATTAAAACTTGCTCCTACTTTGTTGATACTTGGCCAAGAAGAATAATAAATAGTCCATTTGTCTTAGCCAAACTACATGTATAAGAAATCTAACAGTATTCATTGGACAGGGTTGTTTACATTCAATAGAAAACCACAGGCAAAAGGTCTCTCTCAGAACGCAATTTATACACAAAATCACACAATGCAAACACACAAATTACATGTACACATATATACATCTACAATAATGAGAACGGTGAGGGCCATCCAGCGGAAAAAGAACAACATTCAAAAGTACCAATAAGACGGCATCCTACCTGATCACTCCTGCATCCACTGAGTCACTGGGCTGGGGCTTTCGTCATATATCAAAAGGACAAGAGCTTCGGTCTTCCAAACAATTCGTCTTTACAGAGTCTCCAGTAAGAGATAGCGCTGATTAGCAAGTCCTTATTTAATTTATTAATAATGGCAATGAATACTGAAATATCACGTGATCGATCAAAGTAATTTACTCCTCCCAAAATGGCTGCAGGCTCAGGACGTGAAGATTTCAAAATGACACAAGATGTATAACAAAACTTGCTAATCGTTATTTTATCTGTATTCAGGAAGCAAATCGTTTGGTCGAAGCTCTGAAGAAGGAAGAATTTCGAAAGCTTTTAGCTGAATATGCAGAAGAGATATCAAATCCAGAAAATAAAAGGGTATGTATACATATATATATACATAAGACTCCATTAATTTATTGTGAGATGTTTGTACATAATAGCTATATGAAGAAGAAATTGCAAAATTGGAACAAGAAAGAGGTGTTGATGTGAAGTTTATTCATCCTACGGTACAAATGTTGTGTGTGCGTCATGTACATGTATATACATGTAGTACTGTGGCGTCATACTCACAGCTGAGCTGACAGCCCACTATTAATGCTCAGTCTATAAGTATATATTCAGTCCATTTGAATAGCATTGGCAATGATCTATATGCTATGGGACTAGCAACTTACATGTTTGTGAGCTACATGTATATGTGTTGATGTACATGTACATTGCCATGGCATAGTTTTGAATTCATGCACTCAAATGCAATGACCAGTTTAGATTTACAATTTTGAAATTCATATTCTCATCCAAATAGTAGTTTAGAAATCTGCTTTTGCTGCCTAGGCCAAACTTTAACATTTAATAATAGCAACACTCACATGTGGACATGTATAACACTACATGTACTGCTGTATGCACTCTGTACCAAATTGCCACGCGCTATGATTTCTGATGTTATCTAATAACCTCATGTTCCTCTATTTGTATTCGAACACAAACACTAAGTTTTAAAAGAACATTTACACTGCATTGCTTTATGACCAAATGTGTTTGTAAACATGTATGTATAATGTATTTAGTAATTTTTGTTGTAATTTTTTAATTTTGTGGTCGAGTGAAAAAATTACCAGACATAATTTGGCTATAGAACCAGTAAAAAATAAGTTGCATTAATTTGACTTGCAGGTGGTTATAATTTTCAAAATTAAGTTCCATTCAGAATTTGCATGCCACACCTTGTTCAATGAATGGATTAGCATTTCATGAAATTTTTTGTCTGCAAATGCTAGCAGGAAAAATTTTCACAAAATTTTATATCCCTAAAAATATTAGTGCTACATTTGTTTATAGTATTTTGTTTACGAGCTTACAACTAAAGTACATGTACAGTGTATAGAAGAGGATGCATGCAAGTGCATAGTTCAGGTAACTTATAAAATGAATCAAGTTACATATTTGGTACAAACCAAAGCTAGAATGCAAATGCCCCCCCCCCTAAATGAAACATGCACTTAGTAATATTATATTGACCTATAATCAGCATAATTTGATGATAATAATTTATTCATTTCTGAATAAGATGATCTTTTTGGCAAACAATAATTCATTGTATGTATTGCATCTGGCCATGTGACTGCCTTTATTGGCAGTACAAAACATGTGCACAGTATTCCCCAGCACGTCTGAAGTGTTATTGTAATTATTGTACCTAATTAGACCACACATTCATTAAACAATAATCGGTGCATGTACATGTATATATATTAGCCTTAATTTACTATAATGATGCTAGGCCTATAACAACACATTCATAGAATTTACATGCTGCTCAATTCCTGCAATACGTATGTAGTATGTACATGTATCAAAGGTCAAATCACCCATACCTTTCATCAAAAATTGTTAGGTCACTGATGTATCATCATTGTAAAATTTTCAGTTGCTAAAATGAAGACTCTACCAAGTGAAAGTGCTCTTAGAATGGGTATAGCATCTCTATTGGCCAAAACTTTTAACAATACATTTGTCCTCTAATTTTTGTTGTACATGTACTTTGCCAGAGAAAGCAAAATGAATTATAAACAATTAGGACATACATGTATATTTAATTCATTGTCTACACATTGTCATCATTTTGAAATAACTGCAAAGAGATGCAAAAAATACATGTATGCACGGTATGTACATGTATAAAAGCATCTACCAGCTGAAGTATGTATTTCATCATTTTGACCTGACCATGAAGTCAAACCACACAAATACCTCATGGTAATATTGATTGTCACAACCACTTCTCCTTTTAAGATCACTCTATTGTCTTAACATAAACATCCTGTTGGCTAGAGCATGCTAGTAGTGTTTACTGTTTCTTGTGCAACAAAAGTATTGCTTTAAGTCTACAATTACATTCAGTAAAAAATCAAAAAGCTTATAACATTGCCAATTCATTCAAGAATAGTACCATGTTTACAAATATTATAGTTAGTAAATTACAATGTATGTATATGTGTACATACATACATGCACATGTAGCAGTACTTGAATATCAAATGATTATCACTTTACAAATTCAATTACATGTACATTTTTAGCCTGGCCATGTACTTAAAACATGTCTTGTACCATCAAAGAAGAAAGTTTTTATTAACATATGTTGCTGTGATTTAATTGAGCCAGCTATGCCTAATGAAAGGGAGATTGGAGCCACTAAGACTATGTGGTCCATTCCTTATAGTCTAACTCCTGCTAGAGAGGATGTTGATAAAGGTATTTTGTATTGCCACTCTTGTCCTTTTAATGTACTTTGATTTTTTTAGCTAATAATCGGATTACAATTTTTGATGCCATTTTTAATCCTGCCACTTACAAGAAAGGGAAAGAGGTTTAATAGTAGGACACCTATGATAGCATCGTTTTATTGTAGTTTTAGATGCCAAAGTTTTGTGATTTGATTGAATCTACAGCTCTTGATGGAATCGAGAAAGATTTAAAAGTCAATATAGATCGAAAGCATATAAAGAGACTTAAGCAGCCATACAAAGGTAACCCACATCCAACAGTTATTAGAAAAAGAACTGACAAAGTAAGTCATATATTGAAATTATTTTTAAGAATTCCTACATTAGAAGACTCCAGAACCAATTGGTCACCTGAAAGTCCCATATCCCCCTCTACAAGAAGAAAAAAACGAAAAGAAACCAAAGACTTCAAATGGCACCAGTACTGACCCTACTGAGCCAAAGTAACCAATTGGTGCCACATTTTTCATGTTAAAATGTCTTAATTCTTTTAAGATATTCTATTGTTTACTCAGGCGATTTTGATTGCCAAGATTTTACTTACAGTCAAACAAACAACAAGCGACCAACAAGGATTATTATTACTATTGAGCTTCCGAAGCTGGTTAGTGAGATTTTTCTTACATGTGTACATGGTGCCTATTTTCTTTTCAGACAACTGCTGCCAAGTTAGATGTTGATATCTATGAAAAATTGGTTATTCTTCATAACTCTGATCCTTTGTATCACTTAGAAGTATGATTAATTTCATAAAGTTTGTTTTAATTTAATTTATACTTCTAGCTTCCTCTGGCATATCCTGTTGATGAAGACAATGGTATAGCAAAATTTCATAAACAAAATAAGAGTCTTGTACTTACCCTACAAGTGATACCATTGCCTGTTAAGAACCATACAACTCTACCATTGTCAGTTCAAGATGATGTTAATGCTCTTGAAAACAATGATGAGGTGTCAGAAACAGAAAACATATCAACTTTTGATGAGGAGAGCACTGGTGAAGAGAAACTTGATCAAATAAATACTGAAACTTCAGAGCCCTGCATAGTGAAATCTGATTGGTCAGTTATGGAGCAATGGCAGTGTCCACCTTTCAGTTTTAATCAGGAAAAGGACATCATCTCATTTGTGCTTCATGTTTCTCAAGTAAAAGCATCAACTATTACCTACCATATCGATACCAATTCAGTATGTTAATAGCATTATTTTTTGATGCAAATTTAAACTTAATATTGATGATAGGCTCAAATTACTTTTAGAAGTACTGGTGCATACTCCTTTTATGTGTCATTCCACGAAGACTGTCGTCTTATTTCCAATGAGTCTGGTTTCAGTGTATCTGATGACAATGTGGTTTTGCGGTTCAAGAAACAGGTTTTTGAAAACAAGAAAGACAATCATGACTGGCAGTCATTTTATTTTGGCATTAATTCTAACCAAACAGAGGTTAGTTTTTACACACTAGTATGTGTATAATTGTATTTTATCACTATTTAGAAAAAAGATTTTCTAAATGAAAACAGTTTAGTCGATATTATTCAAAGTGTACATTATCCAGATCCGTGGGTGAGTTAATTTTAGTACTATTAAGTTTGATAGTTTACTGTATTGTATTTAGCACACCAATAGTTTATCAACTCCAGTCTCTACTACTGTTAATGATGACAAAGCTACCGTTACACTATCAACAGAGGGAAAATGTGTACAGGCTGAAGATGATGACACACAAGAACATGTAGAGAATCCGCTCTCTACAGTTACGGTTAATGATGATAAAACTGTTACACTATCAACAGAGGGAGAATGTGTTGATGATGACAAACAAGAACATGCAGAGAAAGAAACAGTTTTACTTGAGGAGGAGAAGGATGCAAAGGAAGAGAAACCAATAATTATCAAAGAAAGTATCCCGACATTTTCAAACACTCTTATCTTTGATTTAGACTAGATTACTGTAATGGACATCGTTATCACTTACAATATTATGTAAAACTGTCTCTCAGACAAAATAACTTTGTAAAGTGTGAATATACATGTAATACTAAGTACAACATTGTAGAGTTTAAAAGTGATATTATTTTTCCATCCAATTCCAAAAAAAGTTATTCACAGGCCCACTTTGAATCAAAGCTGCTCAGAGCAATTGAAAATGCTTGTACAGCACACATAGGAAATCGATAATCGAGTGTAAATGTGTCTTCAGATATTCGTCCAAATTGAACAACTATATAGTCTTCTACAAGTAATGAACATTACCTGCATGCATGCTCTTAAATACATAAGCCTTACCATTAGATGAATGAACTAGCTGAAAATTTTTTACAGATGCCTGAGTAACTCTCCCATGAAAATTTAATACATAAGCTTGGGTTTCTGCAATTATTATATAATAATAACATACATTATGTCAATTCATTGTTCACTTACCATCAGACCAGATTGGTTGTTTGTTATGAAGTTTGATTAAATGAGATGTTTCGTCATTTTTAAAGCGCTCCAGCAATGTATCAGAATCCTTGCAAATCAAACATCAAATCAACCATTGCTAATATTAATAGTGCAATCTTACAGTATTTGGCTTTACTTTCATTCTTTCACCATCTTTATCTAGAGCAGGAATAACTACATTCATTTTTCTGGGACCTTTAAATCCTAACACATTAGTTTCCTATGAAATGAATCTACCATGAAACTAACATGCATAACAATTCTCACATAATTAATTAAAACTAATTCTTCTCTCAGAATGTCATAATTGCCCTTTGGTGGTTTGTGTCCATTGTCATATGCTGTAAAACTGGTTCCAACAAAATTTGATCTTAAAATGAGAAACAATTTGAAGACAATACAACAAACCTACATGTACATAGCTTTACCTTAGTTTTGCCACAAAACTTTCTCCACTACGTGACATATCTACAGAATCAACAGAAATTACATAATATGACGAACGGGAGCGTTTCTTTTTACGGCCAGCCAATAAAAATGCCTTTAGAAAAAAATCATTAGAGGAACTTCAATTATCCAGTTATGTCACCTTTTTATGACAATCTTGTTCTAGATTTAAATAGTAGACTGGATACATGTGCTTGTCTAAGCCTTGCTTATCTCGTGTAATTCGGCATTTAACAATCCCACTTTCTTTTGGTACCCTAGTACAATAATTGATTAAAATGTAAATTGAAGTTAAAGTAACAATACCTAAACACAATTCTACTCAAATCCTCCACAGTACCATCACTGTTCAGTCTAATATCCAATGGATCTAACTGTAAAAATTATACAATTAAGATAATCTAAGATACATGTATGCTATAAACAATAAACTTAATTATATGGCACAAAATGGTCAGCAGCAGCAAATAAATAGCAATGCAGGATTTCAAGCAAACAACTGTACACTCCAAAACTAACAATCACTGCACTTTAAACTCACAGAAGATCCTTCAGCTGGTGACTTTGCTCTCTGCTCACTAACTGGATGCGTTCCTTGAGGTAAAACAGATACTTCATGCAGAGGAGAAACAGCTGGTGTAAAATCATTAAATTCCCCTTCGTCTTCTTCAAAATCTAAGAAACCAGAATTATGATATTACTATTTATGATATACCTTCTGAACTATCTGATTGATATCCTACAGCAGCACTGAGCCCTAAGGATATCAGTTTTTCGGAAAGTGAGACAGTAGAAGGTACTATGTCCTATACATTTTTGTTAATTAAAGCAAAACAAGACATGTACCTCAGATGACTCTGTCGAAGTTATAGTAGCTTCAACTTTTTTAACTTTGCAAAAGTGAACATGGTAGAGGTACAATACTGTTACTTACCAGGTGTACTGTCTAGTGTAGGTGAGTCAACTACATTCTTCTTCTTTGCAGAATCTGTCATCAAAGTCTTCACAGGTGATTCTGGAGGAATCAACAAATTAGCACTAGTCACACGTGAAATATCATCAACAGTATTATCAACGACTGGAGGTAAACTTGTATCATTGCTAGACACGAGAGTTGCTTGCCCAGATTTAACTGACCGACTGCTAGTTGGTCGTGAACCAAAACCACTAGCTGTTATCATTCCTAAGAAAGGATAATACATGTACATGTACATAGCTCTAATAAAGAATTAATTTTTGTGGACAAAACGTGGTGAGTACCACATCAATTTTTACTCAAAATGCAAACTTAAACATGACTATATGAAAGTGCAAAAATTTCAGGTAGAGTTATTACACACACTCTTGATGACTAGCAACCCCAAATATACAAAGAGGAACACTGTGTGGCAGTAAAAGGAATGAACATAATCTCAATACTCAAGTACATGTAAACTAGGGCATGGCTAATCTCACAAGCCAAAATATTCCCCAGCTTATGGTCATTTGGTCCCTACCATCCACCCAAATGACAGTAGGCTATGAGTCTGACTCGCGAGACTAGGGTATGGTGCTGTACAAGAAGGAGGAGCTATAATGTCGCACAGTTTCAAAGGATACCATGCAATGCCTACATACCTAAACTCACTCAATAATGCTATACTGAGAGGACAACTACCACCTATGGATACCTCTTTTTCAAAACTGTACTGTGAGCTAACCTGCATGGACTTGCTGCTGTCTCACTCGCCTCTTTTGCTCAAGAACTTCCCTCTAAGAAAAAATTACAACCATGCAACTTCAATTGTACCATACCTGACGTCCAAGTTTTAATTCCCGGTCTACTAAGAAAGGATCTTTACTTTCAGCCATCATATGAAAAACAATTCTTGTTTTGTCACACCCAATAAAATTTATTATGGGTGTGGTCGAAGGAGGGGCAGGGCTGCTGATCTATCTATGGCTGCTACGAGAGAGACTGTAAAACGACTTTTGGTGGCATTATCTGAGCAGAGGTATACCAGTGTCATTATACACAATTTCCTTTATCATTATTCTTTTTATAGCTGTCAGTGCCCTGCACATTCTCACAGTTTCAGCAGACTAAGCACAAGCAGACCAGAATCAAGGTACAGCAAGCTAGCTGGTAACCAGGAATATGCCTTTGAAGTAAAGTGACATATGATACCATTTTATTCTCAGTTACAGTTAGCAACCTCAACTGTTCGATATGGTCATGGTGTGACACAAGAAGTTGGCCTTGATTTAGCAAATATGAAGTCAAAACTTGTTGGTGTTTTTACTGATGAAAATGTAAGTGTAACATTATCATAAAGTATTGCAAGTTTGTGACACAATTTTTAAAAATTGTTACATCTATTTTAGCAGTGAAAACTGTATTTCTAAATGATTCCACCTCTCATAGACTGTTGTACAATAGAGACATTAGCATGTGGTCGTAATTACTGAATTTAGAATATGCATAATCATTATTAGTTTTAATTGCCATTATTGTTAGCTTAGTTACAGTACAATTTTCTGTGAGAAGTACAACACATTTCTTTAATTATGTCATTATTACAATCAAGAGTACACATATGTTTTGATGCAGCTAAGCAGCTTGATGTATTTAGCTAATCAGGAAATATTTTGGTAACCACTTTTGGTTAAAAACAATAGTTTGGCCAATTTTTGGAAGTGACTCAAATTATTATTAGCGTAAGTCATTGATTTAGTAGTTTTTGAGGAAATTGAATCGGCTAAATTTCTAATTTGCAGATTTTAATCATAAAATTTTAACATGAGACGTTTTATCTTTATGAACATTTCTCAAATTTGGAAGAAATCTGCAAAATTGCAATCCTTGAATAGAGCCAGTTATTTTAAGCATTTAGTTCCTTAATTATGTCTGAAAAATGCCCTAACAAAAAGAGCTAATTTGGGAGTCAATTTTATGAAAAACATGGGTATATGTATTTGCTAAATTTATTTGTGCCAAAATTATAGTGATTTTAAATTTAATTTTGCAGCTTCAAAAATTGCCTGTAATGTCTAAAGTCATAAACTCGCTCACTGCAAATGGAATTAATTATTCAATATATAGTGGAATAGAAATAGAACCAACGGAAGAAAGGTAAAGAACTTGGTGCCATATTTATGATAATATCTCATCTTAGTCTTAAAAAGGCAATATCATTTGCTTCTCAAAAAACCTTTGATGCATTCTTAGCAGTTGGAGGTGGATCTGTTATGGATACAGCTAAAGCCGCCAATTTATACTCGTGTCATCCTGAAAATGACTTTTTAGACTTTGTTAATGTCCCAATAGGAAAAGGATTACCAGTTGTAAATCCTTTGAAACCATTGATATGTGGTAAGAAAATCAATTATTGGAAAACATTAATTACTCAAAGTGTTCTAGTTCCAACCACTGCAGGTACAGGTAGTGAAACAACTGGGGTTGTTATTTTTGACTATAAGCCATTGAAAGCTAAAACAGGTTTCTACATTTTTGAGTCAGCTTAATATTTTTAATTTTCAAAGGAATTGGTAACCGTGCTTTAAGGCCAACTTTAGGTTTGATTGATCCAGAGCATGTAACAACAATGCCAAAGAATGTTGCTGTTTTTAGTGGATTTGATGTTTTATGGTAAGATTTCATGTTACTAATTGTATTATTATTTTGTTTATAGCCACGCTCTTGAATCATACACTGCTGTTCCCTTTAATGAAAGAGGTGAAGCTCCTAGTAACCCAATCTTTCGTCCAGCCTACCAGGGCAGTAATCCAATTTCTGATATTTGGTCTAAGGAAGCATTAAAAACTATTCAACAATACTTTCTAAGGTAAAAATATTTACTACACTTTAAATAATAGACTAGTTTATTGGACTAGCATTATAATTACATAATAATTATGATTGCATAGTTAATGGTAGTGAAATTTTGTTTTAATCAGCTATAATCAAAAATCAGTTATCAGTTACTGAGGCTCTACTGTCACCATCCTTTCATATGCAGTACAATGAAACTGACATTTTGTTCATAAATAGGAATTGGCTAGTTAGTGTGACTCTGACAGACACTTTCTTTTTTGACTACCTTAAGGAGACAATTGTTGTGTTAGCAGGTATTTCATTTAACAAATTTTAGCGATTTTAAAAAATCGCTAACTTAAGTGACTTTAAGTCAGCTGACTTTAGTTTCTAATAAATTATTAATAGTCTACTTATTAATATTAAATGATCAAAAACGCTAAATTAAATACCAGCCAAATGTCAGTATCATGAAAATTGCTAATTATAAGTACAGGCTAATAATTGTCTCCTTAAGATATTAAATGTAGATGGCAACCCACAAGCCTAGAATCGTCATTGTGGTAGTAACAGTTCCTATAGACTGAGTGGCAATGACAAATTTTGTACTCCATGTAACCATAAATTTCAAATCATTTCTGATCATAATACTTGGTCAATACTATAATTAGTTAACATAGCCTCTTGCTACTTAATCTGCTATTAAAGTTTACCATGAATAGATCTGTCAATGATTCTGATGATATTGAGGCAAGAGGTGCTATGCATTTGGCTAGTATGTGTGCTGGAATTGGATTTGGAAATGCTGGAGTACATTTACCGTATGTATTATACTG